TACTGCTGGAGACACTGCGGCTGGAGACCCTGGGTCTGGGGGTGCTGCTGCTGGAGACACTGCGGCTGGAGACCCTGGGACTGGAGGTGCCGGTTCTGGGGGTGCTGCTGCTGGTGGCGCTGGTCCTGGAGGTGCTGGTGCTGGGGGTACTGGAGCTGCTGGTGCTGGTGCCACTGCTCCGCCGCGACTGTTCTTCGCTCCGCCGTCTCCGTCGTCTCTACCGCCGCCTGACACTGTACTTCGTCAGGTTCTTAGCCTCCCGTCTTCTACTGGTCTTTCGTTACAGCCTGGCTCACCGCTGCCTGCTCCTTCCCCTTACACTGAGCAGACAGGAGGTCTTACTGAGCGTCGTGAGCCTGCGTCGCGTCCTGTCTCGCCTGTTCGCACTGGTCGTACCGGCCGTCGTGTTCCTCGTCCGCGTTCGCCGGCTGTCCCCAGCGCGCACCTCGTCGTCCGTCGTCCTTTCTCTGCTCCGTAGACTGTTTCTCTGCCGTCTCCTCCTGCGTCCTCTCTGCCTGACGTTGCGGACCCTGCGTCTGACCGGTTTCGTGCTGCGCACCCTACTGTCACGCGTCTGTTAGCCACTGTTGTCACTGACCCGTCGTTTGAGTCTGCTGCTGCGTCTGCCTTGGTTGCTGAGCTTGTCGACTTTGCTGCTGCCTGTCGTCTTGACTACGCTGCTAGTCTTGTTGCTGAGTCTGAGTCTGTCTGTCCTCCGTCCGTCGGGGGTGAGTGTGTTTCTGGCACGGACGTCCTTGAGGACAGGCAGGAGTAGTTTGAGTGCTTTGCCGCTGCTGTACCTCATCTCGTGTCCATGCTGCTTGCCCCTGAGGGAGACCCGGATGCTCCAGACATCCCGACCCCGCGCTCTTACGCTGAGGCGATCGCGGGTGAGTACTTCTCTCAGTGGCAGACAGCCATGGACGCAGAGATGACATCCTGGAAGTCCACAGGCACTTACGTCGACGACGTTCCCCCTCCTGGGGTGAACATCGTCAGTGGCATGTGGATTTTCAGGGTGAAGCGGCCGCCAGGTTCTCCGCCTGTCTTCAAGGCTCGTTACGTTGCTCGAGGCTTCAGTCAGCAAGAGGGAGTAGACTTCTTCCAGACCTTCTCCCCTACCCCGAAGATGACCACTCTTCGGGTGCTGCTGCACGTTGCCGCTCAGCGTGACTACGAGCTTCACTCTCTCGACTTCAGCACAGCTTTCTTACAGGGCAGCCTGCACGAGGAGATCTGGCTGCGCCGCCCACCTGGCTTCACTGGGTCGTTTCCTCCTGGTACCCAGTGGAGCCTCCGGCGGCCGGTCTACGGTCTCCGCCAGGCGCCACGAGAGTGGCACGACACACTGAGGACTACTCTTGCGGCACTTGGGTTCGCGCCTTCTACTGCTGACCCGTCGCTGTTTCTGCGCACCGACACCTCGCTGCCGCCGTTCTACATCCTCGTGTACGTCGACGACTTGGTCTTTGCCACTGCTAACACTGAGGCTCTTGCCCACGTGAAGTCGGAGCTGCAGAAGAGACACACGTGCACAGACCTGGGTGAACTGCGCAGCTACCTTGGCTTGCAGATCACCCGGGACAGAGCACGCCGCACCATCACACTGACTCAGTCACACATGGTGCAGCAGGTCCTTCAGCGCTTCGGCTTCACCTGGTCCTCGGCACAGGCCACTCCTCTGGCTACAGGTCACTCGCTCTCAGCTCCACCTTCGAACGAGTCCGTAGAGCCGAGTGGTCCTTATCCAGAGCTAGTTGGCTGCCTCATGTACCTGATGACTTGCACTCGTCCTGACCTCGCGTACCCTCTTGGTCTCCTGGCTCGCTACGTGGCTCCTGGTCGGCACCGACCTGAGCACATGGCTGCCGCTAAGAGGGTACTGCGCTACTTGTGCAGCACATCAGGCATGGGGCTAGTGCTTGGAGGGAAGAGCCCAGTTGTCCTCACTGGGCACTCAGACGCTTCTTGGGTTGACGACTAGGCTATTCAGCGGTCGTCACAGGGTTACACCTTCAGCCTTGGCTCTAGTTCAGTTTCTTGGCGTTCTACTCGCTCGTCTTCAGTTCTCAGCTCCAGTTGTGAGGCTGAGATCTACGCCACAGCCATGGCTGCACAGGAGTTACGCTGGCTCACCTACCTGCTGACCGACTTGGGAGAGCGGCCTCGTTCTCCTCCAGTGCTGTACGTCGACAACAAGGCTGCCATTGCCTTGTGTGAGGAGCACAGACTGGAGCACAGAACGAAGCACATCGCTCTGCATTACTTCCTGGCTCGAGAGTGTTACGTGGCCACTCGGGCCAACACTGCTGATATATTCACCAAGGCACTTCAGTCTGGTGATCATCAGCGTTTCTGCACTATGCTAGGGCTTGTTCCTACCTTTCCTCACTTGCTGTAGGCTTTGCTTGTACTGTGATCTATATACATATACCTGCATGCTTGCTCTTGCTAGGTAGAGATCACTGTGCTGCTTGTGTTGCATATATGCCTCTGCATGTGAACTGGCCTAGTGGCCCTTTGCTTGTGCTCAGAGTGTGTGGTGACGTTGTGATCCACCCTGAGCTTGCTTTGCCTTTCTTGACTGGTCTTGTGACCCCTTGTTCTCCCCCACTTTGCCTATGGGGGTGTGACAAATGTTATATCTGCTACAGTTTGTTTAGGCTGTAGTGGGGTAGTTACTATGGGGTACAGTAAGTTTAGGGTTTCCTACTTGTACCCAACCCTTTCCTAGTTCAACCACTCTCTCTTGTTCATTCTGACAGAGATGACCGGCAGATGAGATGACTGGCAGATGAGCTGACTGGCAGATGAGCTGACTGGCAGATGAGATGACCAGCAGATGAGATGACTGGCAGATGGCATGACTGGCAGATGAGATGACCAGCAGATGAGCTGACTGGCAGATGGGATGACTGCTGATGCGATGACCGGCAGATGAGATGACTGGCAGTTGAGCTGAATGGCAGATGAGATGACTGGCAGATGAGATGACTAGCAGGTGAGCTGACTGGGAAGCTGATTGGGCCCATGCCTTGACTATCAGGACCTGAACTCATCGCTTAAAAATGAGGAAGCACCACAAGCCGGTATGTTTTGGTTGATAAATGAGCTGGTGAGCCGACGAGCCAGGTTGCCAGCTGAGCAGGTCGTAGTTTATCCGTTGAATCGGTGGTCTAACGATAGCAAGCTAGTCAAGCTGACACACACAGATATGTCGTATCATTGTCTGCCAGTTTCGTATGGTTATGACGTTTTGCTGCTGGTCTGATGCTCGTGTCCTCTAAGTAGAAATGAATGATTGCAGTAAACGTGGTGTATTATCAGATCCAAAATATAGCGGAAATTGATGCAAATTTGTGGGTTGTCTGTTGAGGCTCGTCAAAGAGCTTACAGTGGCTCGTGGGTGGACCAATATTCAGCAAGCTAGCCAGCCTGGTCATCGCTTGCTGGACCAATCTTAGTCCATTTGATCGCAGGCTTGTCTTGACTTGTCGTTTCCGACCGGGGCTCATGATTTCAGAATAGCAGGAACTAATAAAAGGGTCATATATGCCCAACAGAATTTGTCACATCACGGGGAACCACTTTCAAACAGGTCAAATCCGGGTCTGGCCTTCCATGGGCCGGCAAGTGAAGGAACAAGTTTTACCAGTCGACAAGCAAGGATTGCTTGGCTCTTCGAGTGTTATGTGATGCTATCATTCGCATTCACGTCTGTCTGCCTCCCATCATATGTTCGTGCGTTGCATGCGTGGTGTGAGCGTATGCAAAATTTTGTGTTCGGTGTGGTTTGGATTTTCTGAGTGTGTGTGAATGATGTTTTGCTTGAGCAGATATCTGAAGTGAATTCCCTGCTCAAGAGCTTTCCGACGAACCAAGAATCGTCGCGATCGGAGCAAGAACGAGAAAGTTATTATCGTTCGAAGTTTTGATTGTGATGCGGCGACTTTGGGAATTTGTGGAGTGACTCTAAATGGGGTATAGACTTTTGGGGGTTGTCAAACTCATACACTATAGTCTGTGTAGGCTGTAGTGGGGTAGCTCATATGGGGTACAACATTTTAGGGTTTGGTACTTGTACTCCTCATGCTGCTCAATGCACTCATTCCTCGTTGTTATTTTCACATGGTATCAGAGCAGGTTCCCTAGTGGGAACTTTTCCTAGGGCCCACCCAAATCGACCTTTTTTTTCCTGCCCGGGGCGCGCGTCGCCCCTGCCCGAGGCGCGCTCGGTGCCCTGCCCTTACGCGACCCCTTCGCCGCCCTTAGCGGCCCCGTCGCCCCACCCTCGCGGCCCCGTAGCCGCCCTTAACGGCCCCGTCGCCCCTCGCGGCCCCGTCGCCGCCCTTCCGCGGCCCCGTCGCTGCCCCCTTACGGCCCCGTCGCCGCCCTTCCGCGGCCCCGTCGCTGCCCCCTTACGGCCCCGTCGCCGCCCCTTACGGCCCCGTCGCCGCCTCTTGCGGCCCCGTCGCCGCCCCTTACGGCCCCGTCGCCGCCCCTTGCGGCCCCGTCGCCGCCCCCCCTTCGCGGCCCCGTCGCCGCCCCTTGCAGCCCCGTCGCCGCCCCTTGCGGCCCCGTCGCCGCCCCTTGCGGCCCCGTCGCCCCCCCCCCCTTACGGCCCCGTCGCCGCCGCTTGCGGCCACGCCGCCGCTTGCGGCCACGCCGCCGCCCTTCAGCGGCTCTGCCGCCCTTCGCGGCCCCGACGCCGCCCTACCGCAGCCTCGCCGCCGCCCAGCTGCCAACCGCCGAGCCGCCGAGCCGCCAAGCCGCTGTTGCTGCAGTTGCCACCGTGCCGCCGAGCCGCTGTTGCCGCCGAGCCGCCGAGCCGCTGTTGCCGCCGTTGCCTCAGCCGCTGCAGCCGAGTTGCCGTCGTCCCTGCAGTCGCGGCCGTGTCCCTCCCGGCGAGCCTCGGCCCTACTCACTTGCCCGGTAAGCGCAGCGCCTCTGCCACTGCACTGCCCTTAGCCTGCTGCTCTCACTGCTCGTCTACTGCTGTCATGGCCACCCCCAGTGTTCTCACCTTTGACGCTGAGGGTCGGGCTGTTGACTTTGAGGTCTGGCTCGATGATCTGCAGCTTTTCCTACAGTGCGATAGGGCAGACGGTCTCTCCCTCTTTGACCTCACTTCTGGTGCCTCTCCTTCCCCTGCTGCTGATGCTGACGCCACTGTTCGCTCACAGTGGGCCACGCGCGATGCTGCTGCCCGCCTTGCTGTGCGCCGCCACTTGCCGACTGCTGAGCGTGCGCACTTTAGTCAGTACAAGAGTGCTAAGACCTTGTACGACGCTGTAGTTGCACGCTACTCTTCCCCTGCCACTGCTGCGCTCAGCCGCCTCATACTGCCGTACCTCTTCCCTGACCTCGCCGCTTTTCCCACTGTCGCTGACCTCATTACGCACCTTCGCACTAGTGACGTCCGCTACCGCGCTGCGCTTCCTGCTGAGTTCTGCGCCAAGAACCCCCCCCCAATGTACATCACCCTCTACTACATAGTCACCCGGCTCCCTGACACCCTTCGCTCGGTCAGGGACCACTTTCTCTCTGTTTGCCCCACCACTCTCACCGTTGACCTCCTCGAGGAGCGTCTCCTAGCAGCAGAGCAGAGCATAGTTGCTGTAGGAGCCTCTCGTGGTGACCCTCGTACCCCTGTCTTTGAGGGGTGCTCCCCCTCCCCCCTCTTGCCCTCTGTTGCCTCTGCTGCTGCGGTCGACCTTGTTGGTCTTGAGTCGGTCGCTGCGGCGTCTACCTCTAGTGGGAGACGCCGCCAAGGGCAAGGGGGGCAAGGGTGCTGGAGGAGCTGGCGGGGGCGGTGGAGGCGGAGGTGGAGGAGGCGGAGGGAGTGGGGGTGGCGGTGGGAGTGGTGGTGGGAGTGGTGGTGGGAGTGGGGGCACTAGTGGAGGCAGTGGCGGCGGAGGAGGAGGCGGTGGTGGAGGTAGCGGCGGCGGAGGTGGAGCGGGTCGGGGCGGCTCTACGCAGAGGGTCGGCTCCGGTGGTGGTACGCGCCAGCAGCAGCAGCAGCAGCGTCCTCGTGAGACCCCTTCCCCCCAGCAGCTTCGTGAGTGGTACACTGCTCGTCAGCGGGGCGGGGGTGCTGGCCCCTGTACCTACGTTCTCCGTACCGGCGACCGCACGGGTGAGCAGTGTGGGGGGGCGCACTCCACCCAGCGCTGTTTCGGCCGTCTGACGGACGCTTGGCGTCACCAGTTCCCCGACGGTACCGAGATCCCTCGCTGGGGCGAGCTGTCTAGGGCGGGTGTTGCGATCTTTGATCTTGATTATGATGCTATTCTTGCTGCCATGTATGCTGTGACTATTAGTGATGAGGGTGACTGTTACCGGTGTTTTCCGCCTGACCCGGGCATTGAGGCTGCTGCGCTAGGTGCTTGTGAGACTGCTGCTCTAGGTGCCAGTGCGTCTGCCGCCCCAGGTGCCGGTGAGTCTGCGCTCTCAGGTACTGCGTCGTCTCCGGACACCCACACCTTCACCCTTGACTCAGGTGCTTCCCGCTCCTTCTTTCGAGACTGCACCACTCTCACGCCGCTCAGTCGGCCGGTTGCGGTCTCCCTGGCAGACCCCTCTGGGGGTCCTGTCCTTGCCCACTACTCCACTGTTCTACCGTGTCCAGCGGTCCCGTCTGGCTCCCTGTCGGGTCTTTACCTCCCCTCGTTCTCTACGAACTTGGTGGCGGGTGCTGACCTCCAGGATGGGGGGGTTGACCAGTTCACCCCTGCGCGTCAGCGGGTGACTCACTGCACGTGTGCAGACACGGGCCGACACTTGGCCACGTTTACCCGTCGGCCGGGGTCGAGCCTGTACACACTGACTACTGAGTCTCCTCCAGTCACTGCGTCTGCTCAGGTAGCAGCGTCGGGTCAGGTGTTTGCTGCGGCGTCCAGGTCTGGTCCTGAGTCTGCCCCCTGCTCGTGTCGTCTCCTGTCCCACCGGACTCTCCTCTGGCACCACCGCCTTGGTCACCCCTCCCTGCCTCGTCTTCGAGGCATGGCTTCCCGTCTTCTTGTCTCTGGCCTCCCCCGGTCCCTCCCTCCCCTTCCTCCGGGGCCTGCCCCCAATTGCGTTCCCTGCGTCGAGGGGCGGCAGCGCGCTGCTCCTCACTCCTCCGAGTTTCCTCCGACAGAGGCTCCGCTGCAGACGCTTCACATGGACGTGTGGGGCCCAGCCCGCGTCCGTGGGCAGGGTCACGAGCGTTACTTCCTGCTGGTGGTTGACGACTACTCGCGTTACACCACAGTCTTCCCCTTGCGCAGCAAGGGTGACGTCACTGAGGTGTTGATCGCCTGGATCCGCGCAGCTCGTCTCCAGCTCAGGGAGAGTTTCGGCTCGGACTTTCCTGTTCTGCGTCTGCACTCCGACAGAGGCGGAGAGTTCTCCTCTGACCTTCTGCGGGCCTTCTGTCGTGCACGAGGCATCCGCCAGACCTTCACGCTTCCGGACTCTCCGCAGCAGAATGGGATTGCTGAGCGCCGCATTGGCATGATCATGGACGTCGCTCGTACGTCCATGGTCCATGCGGCTGCCCCCCATTTTCTGTGGCCGTTTGCGGTTCGGTACGCGGCGCATCAGATCAACCTTCACCCCCGGGTCTCCATGCCGGAGACCTCCCCTGCTTTGCTGTGGACGGGGAAGGCTGGCGATGCGTCTGCGTTCCGTGTCTGGGGATCTCGGGCGTTTGTCCGCGACTTGTCTGCGGACAAGCTGTCCCCTCGTGCTGTTCCCTGCGTCTTCCTTGGCTTCCCTCCTGACGCGCCAGGCTGGCAGTTCTACCACCCCACCTCGCGCCGTGTTCTGTCCTCCCAGGACGTCACCTTTGACGAGTCGGTTCCCTACTACCGTCTCTTCCCCTACCGCACTGCGTCCCTCCCTCCCCCGCCGCTCTTCCTTACGCCAGGTCCCCCTCCGGTAGACCCCCTCCCCCCTCAGGGTCCTGCTCCCTCAGGTGTGTCCCAGGTAGATGCAGTCGAGCCTGTCGAGGTAGCTGTTGACTCTGGTGCTGCTGGGGGTGCTGAGCCTGGGGGTGCTGGGTCTGGGGGTGCTGCGACTGGGGGTGCTGAGCTTGGGGGTGCTGCGCCTGGGGGTGTTGAGCTTGGGGGTACTGCGCCTGGGGGTACTGAGCCTGGGGGTGCTGCGCCTGGGGGTACTGAGCCTGGGGGTGCTGAGTCTGGGGGTGCTGTGTCTCGGCGTGCGGAGCCTGAGGGTGCTGGGCCTGCTCGTGTGGCGTCTGGTGGTGCTGGGCCTGGAGGTTCTTCGGGTGCTTCGTCCCGGCGGGAGCTACTCTCTCCACAGGAGCTGCGTGAGTGGTTTGCCCGGCGCTGGAGGCGTGCTGCTGGAGCTGGCGGTGCTACGGACGCTGGAGGCTCTACTGCTGCTGAGGGTGCTGGTACCGCGGGTCCCGGAGGTGCTCGTACAGGGTGTACTGGAGCTGCTGGGCCTACGGGTGCTCCTGGTGCTGGAGCTGGTGGTGCTACTGGTGCTACTGGCGTTGGTGCTGCTGGTGCTCCTGGAGCTGGAGCTGCTGCGTCTTCTGGTAGTCTGCCTGGAACTGGAGCTGCTGGGGGTGTTTGCACTGGTGGTGCTCCTGGCGCTGGTGCTTCTGAGGGTGCTGGAGTTGGCGCTGCTGGAGGTGAGGGTACTCCTGGTGCTGGTGCTGCCGTTGGGGGTGCTGGTGCTGCCGTTGCGGGTGCTGGTGCTGTTCCTGCTGGTACTGGTGGCGCTGCGCGGCCGCGGCCGTACTTCGTTCCGCTCCTTGAGCAGGTTCTTGGTCTTCCGTCCTCTCTTGGTCCTGCTCCTGGCTTAGAGTGTCCGCCTCCTGTCCAGTCTGAGTCACAGTTACCGCCCGCCTCACCGCTTCCTTCTCCTTCTCCCTACACTGGTCCTACTGGAGGTCTTGCTGAGCGTCGTGAGCCTGCGTCTCGCCCTGCGTCGCCTGTCCGTGCTGCTTGCACCAGTGGTCGTGGTTCGCGTCAGCGTCCTCCCCCTGTCCCCGGCACGCACCGGATGTCTCTGCGTCCTTCCACTGCTCCGCTGCGTGCCCCTTTGCCTTCTCCTCCCGCGTCCTCTCTTCCTGACCTTCCTGACCCTGAGTCGGACTCCCTTCGTGCTGCGCGTCCTACTGTCACGCGTCTCCTTGCTACTGTCGTCACTGACCCTTCTTTTGAGTCTACTGCTGCGTCTGCCCTCGTTGCTGAGCTTGTCGACTTCGCTGCTCGCTGTCGCCTAGACTACGCTGCCAGTCTCGTCGCTGAGTCTGAGTCTGTCTGTCCTCCGTCCGTCGGGGGTGAGTGTGCTCTTGGCACGGACGTCCTTGAGGACAGGCAGGAGGAGTTCTAGTGCTTTGCTGCTGCTTTACCTCATCTCGTGTCCATGCTAGTTGCCCCTGAGGGAGACCCGGATGCACTTGACATCCCGACTCCGCGCTCTTACGCGGAGGCGATAGAGGGTCCCTACTCCTCTCAGTGGCAGGCAGCCATGGACGCAGAGATGGCTTCCTGGAAGTCCACAGGCACCTACGTTGACGAGGTTCCCCCGCCTGGGGCGAACATCGTCAGTGGCATGTGGATTTTCAGGGTGAAGCGGCCGCCGGGTTCTCCGCCTGTCTTCAAGGCGCGTTACGTGGCTCGTGGCTTCAGTCAGCGGCAGGGAGTTGACTACTTTCAGACCTTCTCTCCCACCCCGAAGATGACCACTCTTCGGGTACTGCTGCACATAGCCGCTCACCGAGACTACGAGCTGCACTCTCTTGACTTCAGCACTGCTTTCTTGCAGGGCAGCCTGCACGAGGAGATCTGGCTGCGCCGCCCACCTGGCTTCACTGGGACTTTTCCTCCTGGCACCCAGTGGAGCCTCCGGCGGCCAGTCTACGGTCTCCGCCAGGCACCTCGTGAGTGGCACGACACACTGAGGACTACACTTGCGGCTCTTGGGTTTGCTCCTTCTACTGCCGACCCGTCGCTGTTTCTGCGCACCGACTCTTCTTTGCCGCCGTTCTACATCCTCGTGTACGTCGACGACTTGGTCTTTGCTACAGCTGACACTGCTGGACTTGCCTACGTGAAGTCCGAGCTGCAGAAGAGACACACGTGCACAGACCTGGGTGAACTGCGCAGCTACCTTGGCTTGCAGATCACCCGGGACAGAGCACAGCGCACCATTACCCTGACTCAGTCACACATGGTGCAGCAGGTCCTTCAGCGCTTCGGTTTCACGTACTCCTCGCCTCAGGCCACTCCTCTGGCTACCACCACTCGCTCTCAGCTCTGCCTTCGGATGAGTCCGTAGAGTCGAGTGGCCCGTACCCAGAGCTTGTTGGCTGCCTCATGTACCTGATGACCTGCACTCGACCTGACCTTGCATACCCTCTTAGCATTCTGGCACGCTATGTTGCTCCTGGGAGACACAGACCAGAGCACATGGCTGCAGCAAAGAGGGTGTTGCGCTACTTGTGCAGTACGTCGGGCATGGGGCTTGTGCTTGGAGGGCAGAGTCCAGTGGTCCTCACTGGTCACGCAGACGCTTCTTGGGCTGACGACCAGGCTACACAGCGGTCGTCACAGGGTTACACCTTCAGTCTTGGTTCCGGCTCTGTTTCGTGGCGGTCTACCCGCTCGTCTTCTGTTCTCGGCTCCAGTTGTGAGGCTGAGATCTACGCAGGGGCCATGGCTGCACAGGAGCTACGCTGGCTCACCTACCTGCTGACTGACCTGGGAGAGCCGCCTCGTTCTCCTCCAGTGCTGTACGTAGACAACAAGGCCATGCTGGCCTTGTGTCGAGAGCACAGACTTGAGCACAGAACGAAGCACATCGCTCTTCGCTACTTCCTTGCTCGTGAGCTGCAGCAGCGTGGTCAGCTGCGCCTTGCTTACGTGGCCTCTCAGGCCAACACTGCTGATATCTTCACTAAGGCACTCGCGCCTTGTGATCATCAGCGCTTCTGTACTCTGTTAGGTCTTGTGCCTACCTTGCCTCACTTGCTTACTTCTTGACCTTGCTTGTACTGTTACATATATATACCTGCTCTTGCTTGTTTAGCGTTATATATATGTAATCTTGCATGTGAACTGGCCTTGTGGCCTTGAACTTGTGCTCAGACTGTGTGGTGACGTTGTGATCCACCCTGAGCTTGCTTTGCCTTGCTTTGCTTGACTGGTCTTGTGACCCCTTGTTCTCCCCGTCTTTGCCTATGGGGGTGTGTCAAACTCATACACTATAGTCTGTGTAGGCTGTAGTGGGGTAGCTCATATGGGGTACAACATTTTAGGGTTTGGTACTTGTACTCCTCATGCTGCTCAATGCACTCATTCCTCGTTGTTATTTTCACATTGGGGGTTGGGAAAAATTTTCACTCTACTGTAGATGATGCCAAATGGTTGGGAGAAGCCAAACCAGGTTGGCAAGTGTGGCCAAGTTGGGAAGGTGGATGGCATGGGTTGGGAAAGTGACAAATGTCAAAGTTGGGGTGCTTATAGAGAGGGGAATTGTGTGGTATGGGGTTTCCTTGGTTGGGGACTCCTTGGGGACCTTCCCTCTCGTCCTCCTCTTCCCTCCTACCTGGTTTCTTGCTACTCTAATCCTCTTTGTGGAACTTGTGAGAACTATTGTGATTGAGTTAATATTCCATGGCAGCATACCCCCTAGTGCGCCGAAAATCATAACTCGAGATATACTTCATCTTTTGATACGATTCAAATTGGGAAAGATAGCCATGATCAACGGCTACAACATAGTTTGAGAGAATTCCAACCGTTAACTCTTCGTCCACGGCGTTTCTTGTGAAGTCGACTTTTCTGTCCAGAGATTAGGTCCAACGATTTTGAGATATTTCGGCCCCTAAACGTTTAAGACTCCGTCCTTAGTCTCTAACAAGTGGTATCAGAGCTGATTGAGGACTTTGTGGGGAGTCTACTGAGGTGTGAAGACCCTTCTAGACCCACCATGGCCTGTGGGCGTGCCTAAGTGGTGTTCTGAAGGTTGGATGTGACTTCCGCTAAGGGGAAACTCTGCCGAAATTTTGTTGGCGCCGACACTTGTGAAAATTTTGTTTATCTACATTGTGACCAGCAGAGGGGGAGCTGAAAGCTGTGATTGGGACCAGAGGAGATGAGTCAAGGTAGTGGAGATGCAGCTGAAAAGAGGAGTGAGCCGCCACCATCCAAGATTGAGGCGTTGGATGGCTCCAACTACGAGGAATGGAGTGGGCGGATGAGGAGCGTCTTCAAGCGCTACAAGCTGCTGAAACTTGCGATGGGAGAAGAGAAAATGCCCGAGGAAGGAGATGCTCGAGATCGGTGGATTGAGAAGAGCGCGGTGCTGTACGACTTGATTCTACAGTCGGTCAACAACGACATGTTCCAGCACATCAAGGATTTGGTGGAGCTCGATGACTCGGGACCGAAGGCTTGGAGGCTGCTACGCGACGTGATTCAGCCCAACACGCTGCCCATGGTGATTGTGTTCGAGAAGGAGCTGGCGGCCATCTCCATGCGATCGGGAGATGATGTGAAGCCGGTCCTTGACAAGATCAAGGACACCTATGCGAGGATGGCAGCGGCGGGCAGCAAGGTGTCGGAGATGCAGCAGTGCACAAAAATCATCTCGGTGCTCGACAACTCGTGGGAGAACCTCATCCCCACCCTCAACGTTCAGCAGGACAAGTGGACGCCTGAGTGGCTACGGCAGCAGATCCTGCAGGAGGACTTCCGCAGGCGCCACACAGGAGGTGGTGCTGCCAACAAAACTGCTGAGGGGTATGGAGCTGCAGGAGGAAATAGAGGAAGAGGGGGAGGGAGAGGCCGAGGCCGTGGGAGAGGCTTTGGCAGAGGGAGAGGCCGAGGTGACTACAATGAGGGGCATGGGAGCTCTGGTGGCAGGGGGAGCAATCAAATGGAGGGAGCATGTTGGTATTGCAAGAAGGCTGGACACCCATGGTTCAAGTGTTTCAGCCGGCCTGAGGGATGGGCACCCCCAGGCATGAAGCCGCCGAGTGGTGAACGTGCACGAGGTGGCGCTGTGCAAGGTTCAGGTGCACAAGGTGAAGGTGCACAAGGTAAAGCCTCCCCTGGGATGTTCTTGATGGTTGAGGATGTGAAAGGGAGTGAGGGTGATGTGGGTTCGGTTGGGAAGGTTGTGATGCACCCCCTCACTCACTGGGTGATAGATTCAGGTTGCACAAGTCACATGACCCCACGGGCAGATTTGCTTGATGAGGTAAAGCCCCCTGGGAAGATCAAGTTTGTGGCTGCCGCTTCAAGTGCTTTGCTCCCTGTGATTGGTGTTGGGAATGCCAAGGTTATGGGAGCCAATTGGGAGCTTGTAGGGCTTGGGAATGTACTGTTGGTTGAAGGTTTGTCCGCTAACCTTCTTTCTGTGCGCCGGCTGCAGAAGAGCAAGGCCAAAGTCACCTTCGGCCCAACCAGCTGCCGTGCGAAGCTTGGGAAGCTGTTGTTGTGGGATCTGGAGGAGAAGAGCAGCTGCATCAAGGACCTATGGCAGCTGCCCATCATCCCTTGGAACGGGAAACCTCCAGCAACGGCAGCGGCAGCGGCTAAAGCAACTGCGGGAGGAGAGGAGACTGCACCAACTGCTGGGGCCCTGGATGCAGTCAAGAAGGTGCAGCAGCCACAGCAGCCACATGGTGAGGTGCTTGCTGGTGTGGATGCAACAGCTGCATGGGCAAAGGCTTCATCTAGGAGTGGTGAGGCCGATTGGGAGACGTGGCACGAGAGGTTGTGCCACATCAACATTCCGATGCTGCAGAAATTGGTGAAGGATGGGAGCTTGAAGGGGCTGGAGGTGAAGGGGGCAGCAAAGGAGATTGGGAGCTGCCCTACATGCCTCGAGACGAAATTCACCAAGTTCCCTTTCAGCAGCAGCACGGGACCAGCCAAGGCGCCACTTGCGCTTGTACACATGGATGTGGTGGGGCCTACGAGGGCCCTTTCTCTCTCGGGCAGCCGCTATTTCCTGACCATTGTGGACGACCACACGCGTGCGGTGTGGGTGTACCCTCTCAAGACTAAGGGGGAGGTGGCAGCGGCTGTTCTTAAGGAGTGGATGCCGAGGGCTCAAATTGAGAGCGGACACAAGGTGAAAGTGATCCGCACCGACAATGGAGGAGAGTTCATTAGCGCAGATTTTGAGGCGGTGCTGAAGAAGAAGGGGATCCAGCATCAGCTCACAGTGCCCTACAACCCTCAGCAGAACGGCGTGGCTGAGCGGTTCAACCGGACCTTGCAGGAAGGTGCTCACACTCTCTTTGGGCGTGCAGGGCTGCCGGATCCGTTTTGGGTGACTGCACTGAGGCAGGTCGCCCTTGTGAAGAACAGGGTGCTGGCGACTATGGGGGACAAGCAGTGGGTCCCCTACACCAAGTGGTATGGGAGTGCACCAGCAGTCAACATGCTGAGAGCTTATGGCTGCATGGTGGTGTTTCATGTGCCTAAGGAGAAGAGGGGAAAGCTGGAAGCTTCTGGGAGATGGGGTGTGCACTTGGGACTTGCTAAGGATCACAAGGGCTGGTTGATATGGGATTTGACCAGCCAGCAGCTGACTGTGTCGAGGGATGTGAAATTCCTCGAGTCTCTGTACTACAAGGAGTGGAAGCAGCAGCAGCAGAAGCTTCCTACTACACCGCTGATCATTGAGGCTGATGAGGTGCAGCGGCCTTCAAGACAGGTGCAGGTTTCTGTCTCAGAGGAGGAGATCTCTTGGGTGACTGAGGATGGGGGAGAACCTGAGGTGGAGGAGCAGCAGCAGCAGCAGCAGCAGCAGCCACAGCAGCAGATTGCTCCACAAGGTGCTGCACGTACGGCTGACCGTCCTAAGAGGGATGTGCGCCCTCCTAACCGGCTGACCTATCCGAGTTTTGGCAAGCAAAAGGTGGTACGGGCTGGGTTAGTGGCTGAGCAGTGTGATGAGGAGGAGATAGCGCACTGCTACTGGGCAGCCGTCCCTGAGCCCAAGACGCTCACCGAGGCCTTGAGTGGGCCCGATGCTGAAAAATGGAAGCAGAGTGTGAAGGAGGAGTATGATTCTCTGCTGGAGAACGAGACGTGGGAGCTGTGTGAGCTGCCACCTGGGAAGAAGGCCATTTCTTCCAAGCTGATCTTCAGGCATAAGTACGGCCCTGATGGGGAGCTGACCCGCTACAAGTCGAGGCTTGTGGCTAAGGGGTTTCAGCAGACAAAGGGCAAGGACTTTGACGAGATCTTTGCTTTTGTGGGGAAAGGGACAACATTGAGAGTGTCATTGGCAATGGCTGCAAACCGTGGATGGCGGGTGAAGCAGATGGACATTACCACCGCCTTCCTCAATGGGATTATTTTGGAGGAGTTGTATATGCTGCAGCCTGAGGGGTTGGATGATGGGAGCGGCAGGGTGTGCAGGCTGAAGAAGGCCATCTACGGCCTGAAGCAGGCTCCTCGTGCATGGTACCACAAGCTGGAGGAGACCCTGCTGGCTGGGGGGTTCAAGAAGAGCGAGTGTGATCACAGCCTGTTCCTGCTGCAAGAGAAGAAGCGGTTCCTCATGCTCCTGGTGTACGTGGACGACATCCTTCTTTTCTCCGAGTCGTCTGCGATGATTGAGCGTGTGGAGGAGATGCTGGAGATGCAGTTCAAGTGTTCCAAGATGGGAGACGTGAAGTATTACCTTGGGATGCATGTGGAGAGAGACCTCGACAAGGGAGTGTTGAGGTTGCACCAGAGGAAGTATTGTGAGGGGCTGGCTGAGAAGTATGGGCTGCAAGATGGAGGAAAGCCAGCCACCCCACTGCCTTCGGGGTTCACTGTGGAGCCCTGTGCTGATGAGGAGGTGGTGGGTGAGAGTGACAGGAAGCTGTTTCACTCCATGGTGGGGGCACTCAACTATGCGGCTAACCACACGCGGCCTGACATTGCCTTTGCTACATCCAGGCTTGCGAGTGTGGTGTCACATCCAAGTCATGAGCAGCTGGAAGTGGCCAAGAGGTTGGTCCGCTATATGAGTGCCACAGCATCTGTGGGTTTGGAGTTCAGTGCTGAGAGACAGAGGCTGCAGAAAGGTGCAGCTGATTTGGGCAAGGGGGAGATGCTCTTGACTTGCTACACCGACGCTAGCTTCAACTCAGTGAAGGCGGATGACACTAGCATTGAAGGCTACGTGTGCCTTTTTGGTGGTGGTGCAGTGAGCTGGCGCAGTAAGAAGCAGAATGAGGTGGGGCTGTCCTCGTGTGAGACAGAGTACATGGCCCTGCATCATGGGGCAAAGGAGGTGGTGTGGCTGAGGCGTTTGTTGGAGGAGATCGGAGTGTGCCAGAAGGAGCCGACTGTGATTTTCTGTGATAGTGAGTCGGCTGTGAAGCTTGCCAAGAACGCTTGCCTTCATGGCCTGACAAAGCACATCAGGCCAAAGTGGCATTGGACGAGGAGGCTCCTGGACAAGGAGGTGCGACTGGAGATTGTGAAGACCCAGCAGCAGGCGGCTGACATTCTCACCAAGCGCCTGGCTGAATCTGAGCATTGGAAGGGGATGAAACTTGCTGGAATGAGTGTGCATTGAGGGTGCATGCTTGAGCTATGGCATGTGGGATGATGGTTGGCAGCCAGAGGGGGAGTTTGTTATGTGATGCTATCATTCGCATTCACGTCTGTCTGCCTCCCATCATATGTTCGTGCGTTGCATGCGTGGTGTGAGCATGTGCAAGAATTTGTGTTCGGTGTGGTTTGGATTTTCTGAGTGTGTGTGAATGATGTTTTGCTTGAGCAGATATCTGAAATGACTTCCCTGCTCAAGAGCTTTCCGACGAACCAAGAATCGTCGCGATCGGAGCAAGAACGAGAAAGTTATTATCGTTCGAAGTTTTGATTGTGATGCGGCGACTTTGGGAATTTGTGGAGTGACTCTAAATGGGGTATAGACTTTTGGGGGTTGGGAAAATTCGTCACTCTACTGTAGTTGATGCCAAATGGTTGGGAGAAGCCAAACCAGGTTGGCAAGTGTGGCCAAGTTGGGAAGGTGGATGGCATGGGTTGGGAAAGTGACAAATGTCAAAGTTGGGGTGCTTATAGAGAGGGGAATTGTGTGGTATGGGGTTTCCTTGGTTGGGGACTCCTTGGGGACCTTCCCTCTCGTCCTCATCTTCCACCCTACCTGGTTTCTTGCTACTCTAATCCTCTTTGTGGAACTTGTGAGAACTATTGTGATTGAGTTAATATTCCATGGCAGCATACCCCCTAGTGCGCCGAAAATCATAACTCGAGATATACTTCATCTTTTGATACGATTCAAATTGGGAAAGATAGCCACGGTCAAGGGCTACAACATAATTGAGGTTGAGAGAATTCCAACAGTTAACTTTTCGTCGACGGCGTTTCTTGTGAAGTCGATATTTCTGTCCAGTGATTAGGTCCAACGATTTTGAGATATTTCGGCCCCTAAACGTTTAAGACTCCGTCCTTAGTCTCTAACATCGAGAGCCTTAGCTCCACTCGGGGCCATCTGGTAGAGCAGGATTGCTGGCACAGCTTGACTCAATTGTCGGTTTGGTCCTACATGTCATTTGATTGAGCTAGAAGTTGAGCTCCCGTTTTGACAGATCATGGGATGATATGTGATCATCATGGCTCCAGTGCCATGCTTCCTTCTCCAGCAGCGAGAGACTCGTCACAGGTCATGAACCAGAGTGGTTTGCCGAACATATACCCAATTGACATTGTGCTGAACTGAATGGCATAAGCCGCAAGGAAAGATGCCCTTGGTCGTGTTTGCTGAAATGCATTGGAGAATGCATGGGAGTGCAAGGATGAGCAGCCCGTGGTTTGCATCTTTGATGCGTCAATGAACTCATAGATTGGTCTTCACTGTCTCTCTTTTTATGTTGTGAAAGTTGTCCCACACATGAGCACATCTTTGAGGTACGTGTGGGAGGAAGAGAAGACACACAGAAGGTGGTGGTGGATACCGCATGCATGGCATAAACAATAATAGCAACTTCCAACACAGCCATGGATAACTATCTCAGGATCAGTATGCAAGAAACTCAGCTGCAATCACCATTTGTGCACCTCAACTTGTGCAAGGAGCCGCACCATTGATTCTTGTCTGGGCTATCAAAGGTTAAACTAGATATCTGGTAATCAGTTGCCTTTATCGAGTAGGGAAAGTCTGCTGCTGAGACTTGGGAGGATTTCGAGCTCTGCTAAACCGGCACTCCCACATGGCTGAATCACTGTGCACTTTGGAACTACGGGCTGGTTGTATCCCAAAGCATTGTGTTTTAGACTCAAAGCATTGTCTCTCCACCCAAAACACCCATTCCATGTTGTACCAACAGGTATCTTTACAACAATGCTCTGAATGGGTCTATTCCATCCACCATTGGCAACATGAACAAACTCTTATCATTGTGAGTATTATTCAGGCAATACGAGAGAGAGCCTCCATGACCTCGCACATGTTCAGAAGCAAGAGGGCCTAAGATGGTGATACCAAGTCAACTGGGTGTGGGAGTGAGCATATACGCTAGTCAAAAGCAAAAGCTTGAGGTGAGGCCGCTAACCCAGGGGCCAGCCTGGGTATCGGTTTGTCGTGAGCCGGTTTTACAGCAAGCCTGCCAGATGTCTGCGGCAAGGAAACATGCTGGCTTCGCCCACTATTCCCATCGTAGTTGGAAAATTTCTGGCCTCGTCTATGCGGCCATGCCATGGAACGCATCTGTCTTGGACCATGACATAACTAGTCATAGTATATGATCTTCCTGCAGCAAGCTGACACTGGTCCAATTGCTAATACATGCTGGACAAATACTGACTAACTGTAAGTGCAAGAAGGTCACTCTGACCTGACCAGCCATCCCTGGCTCGAACGAATTTATCAGTAGCATACTCATCCAGCGCTATCCTACCAGTGTGATAATGTCTCATCAGCCTCTTCTTCTGTTGGAAATGTTTTATGGACGTGGAAGACTCCTACATAATGAGAGTAGGCACGAGCTTCGATCCAAGCGAGTTGGGTGGTTTCAGTCAAGGATGAGCTGACTGGCAGACGTGCTGGGTGGGCATCTGATTGGGCCTGAGGCTTGTCTGTCATACAGCTTGCGCGCGATTGAACCCTTTGAGCTGGACGAGCTGGTACAGCTTGTCACAATCTGGCAGATTCACACGGAAATGCCAGTTTGCTGCTAGATGTGTGTGGAGCTTGCTTGTTACAGCCACGTTCACATGAAATAGAACGACTCATTGCCTTATCCACGTATAGTGATAGTTCCAGTGGCTAACACGAGCATGGACTCGGGTGTCACAGGGCCATATTGGGCAACAATGGAATGTGTTGAAGACCAGTAATCAGCGTGGTTCACCGAGCATGATTTCCCCAGTTCGGCCTGGTTTAGCCAGTTCGATTCTAGGCTGGTTTGAGATGGGTCAAAACAACGTCTCGACAAACTGGGTCCTGCCCTCGGTTATGGCAACCGAAACGGATTGCACTGCAAGCACGAGGTGCCTCACAAATGCATTTCGCCTTGATGGCTACTTATAGGGATCGATTGCATTTCATTGCAAGCTTGATGTTTTTAAGCACTCTCGGTTGATCCTTCAACCTCTCTATTCTCCAGAGTGACTTGAGCATAGTCATAGCTCTGTGTGCGCCACTCATAAAGCATGCGGTGTGTCACGCAAACAACACATAGACATGCACGGCTAGCCACTCCGAACGGTCCAAGCCCACAGAGAGAACTTCCATTGGCCATAGGTGAGAGGTATACAAGGTACCAGTTCAATTGTCTTCTGCGCTATTTTTTTTTTGCATGGTAGCTAAATGAAAAGTTACATGTTAAGCTCACTGGACTCAGTCATGTCAGCCGGAGATCGCAAAATAGGATGCGGATTTAATATTTCACGCTCCGCTTGCCTCTCCTACCTTGTACCACCCTTTTCGTTATTTCCTTTGTTCATCATCTCTGTACTTGTGAAACTTCTGCCATATGCACCATCTGATTTCTTGTTAACAATGCTTTATATAATTTAAAAACTTTTATCTGTCAAAACATTGCAACATAGGATGCACATATTTTTATCTCAGTCTCCGAATGTCTCTCCTATCTGCCATAACGTTGCAGTGGAGTCAGTATGAACAACCTCACTGGCCAGCTTCCTCCAACAATGGGCAATCTCACTCTCTTGTCATACCTGTGAGGCATCTTAGCATAAGTGTTGCAATTCCTATGATAGAAAGCTTCACGCATTCCAGGAAGAGGAGTTATACAACGTACCTAGGTCTTATTGCAGCCGGAGGTCCAGTCTGGAACATGTAGGCTAATTTGTTTGCCTAGCCAGAAAATAATGTAGGGCTTTCCAATATTTTCAACCTTTATTCATCTTGGCAGACTACTGTTCTATCTTATTATATCTCTCCAACAGAAATTTAGAGCGTTTCATTTAGAGGAATGAAACCCGATTTTGGCTAACAGTTTGAGAAAGCTCGATGTCCACATGCAGGAACATATACTCGACTGCAATCACATGCCCTCCTGACTACAGCAGCTGCATGGTCCCGCAGACCTCTTCAAGTGCTTTCTGCAGGCAGTGTGGCTTCTTCTGCACCAGATGTGACAAGCCACCACCAGGTAAAATGCACTCTCCATAGGCAGGTGCACTCAAGTTATTCCACATTCCGTTTCCAACTCCATCTTTGTACTCCACAGCTGTACCCTCCCCATCAGATTTAAGAAGCAGTTTATCCAGCGGAGCCATTGCTTGCATTGCTGCTGCTGGCGCCGTGGTTCTTCTTGTGCTTTTGCTTCTGGAACAACAACCTCTCACAGTCGCAGAGCATGATTATCCAACTCCAGTATCCAGGGTAAAGGAGAGGGACCCAGAAGCAGTAGCAGCCGCTGCTGCTGTTGCTGCTGCGGCAGCTTTTGCAGCAGGAGCAGGAGCACGGGAGAAGCAAAGAGATGTGGTAGTGGAGATAGAAGCACTGAAGCCACATGTGTGCCAGAAGTTCACTTTGGAAGAACTTGCAAGAGCAACGGGAGACTGGGCAGAGGGGAACAGGATTGGCAGTGGCAGTTTTGGAGATGTGTACAAGGGCGTGTCACTGCATGACCCCAATGAGATATGGGCTGTGAAACGATCTAGGGTCCTCTCCAATGACTTCCTCACAGAGGTACCAGATGGCACTGGTTATGCTTCTGCTTTCATACCAATAATCACTTCGAATCACTGACGATGCCGTTCCATACGCTGTCTCACAGACTGTTATTTCCATACGCTTCTGCCCCATTTACACCGTGCCCCATATGCTTCTTTGCCTCTAAATGTCTATCCGCATTGCTCAAAGACCCAGCCAGCCGAGCAGCTCTGCTGCACCAACTCCTGCCCAACCCACCTTTGCTGCACAAGCCTAAACGTGACGCCGTATACTCCATCCCTCTTACCGTGCAGGTGAAGGAGATGGCCAGCAAGCACCACCCCAACCTGGTGCGCCTGTTGGGATTTTGCGTGAACTTTGACCCAGCTACAAGTCTCTTGGAGCAAGTACTCGTGTATGAGTTCATGACGAACGGGGACTTGGAGAGCTGGATTGGACCAGGTACGTAAGCTTTTCTCTTTACCTGACAGCTTTCTATTGTGCTGAATAACTCTGTTTTGCTTTCAACATGAACAATTGGATAAGGTATGGTGTTCCATCCTCTAACCACACCCATTTCTTGAACTTGTTGCTCAATTTCCAATAAGATAATAATTTCATTCTGATCAGAAGCAACTCTACTGTAACGATTTTTATTATTGAATCATTGCAGCTCCATAACTAATTTCAGCAGGGCTAAGTTGTTTACAATCTGTTCCTTTTCAGGTGCTCCAAGCCCTCTATCACTTAAACAACGACTTAACATCCTGATTGGAGTAGCAAAAGGGCTGCAGTATCTTCATGATTTTTGCATTGTGCATCGCGACATCAAGCCAGCCAATATTCTTCTTGATGCAAAGATGCATGTATGTTTATTTTCGATTTCTGTTTGCATCTTGTGTGGCCATCCGATAAGTCTCTTTCCTTTTCATCGAATACTTTATTTTTTTGTATGCTTTGATTCGTTCATACTACTGGTGCTACTGGGTATCTTAGTTCTGCCTACATACATGTGATGCTTTTGTCCAGCCCAAAATTGCAGACTTTGGACTGGTGAAACTCACCAAAGGCACCACAATGGGCACCTCTGTGGCTGCCACTCGAGTGATGGGAACACCGGGCTATGTGGACCCTGCCTACTACAAGTCTCACAAGGCCACTCCAGCAGCAGATGTCTACAGGTGAGCACAGAGATGTGCTCTACTGCTTTCAAGGGTCACGTTAGCATTTGCAGGCAAGGAAAGAAATTCCTTATTAACATACCTCACATAAACCTCCATACCTATCCTGTTGCTTTGGAGCTGGCAGCTTTGGTGTGGTGATGCTGGTGGTCATCTCAACACGCAAGGCTGTGCATGTGAGCGAAGCCAGCCAGATCAGCCTAAAGCAATGGGTGAGCCAAAGTTTCTCTATAAGAAGTATTGCCATTCGTGATGCAAAAAAAAAGTATGACTGCTGCTTAGTCATAGAATCAATGGCATGAATGTGCATTAGTTAATCAGGCTTACATCTGCATGGTTGTGACCCCTTTCAATCCAACAGGTTTCCCCATTCGTGGACTCAGATGCTGTGGCAGTGTTCAAGGATCCCAGCTTGGACGCACCAGACGACTTGGTGCTGCGCTTGGCTCGCCCCGCCCTCTCCTGCACCGCCATGCCTGCAGCCTCCCGCCCCTCCATGAATCAAATTCTCGGAGAGCTGGTGAAGTTGAAGCAGGAGGCCTTCAGGCCACATGGGAGAGGCACAATATCTCGCATAAAAATGGAAATTGGAAGTTCCATTGGTTCCTCATCCTTCACTGCTGAAATGGCCCGTGCTGAGCGTGAGGGCATGCCGAGCACATGCATGTAGGCATCGAGTTCACATGCACATGCACCATACATGTAAAACATACAATATATACCATCACTCCCTCTTTCTTGCTTCCATGGCCTGCATGTGTATAGCTTCATTAGAACCCCTATAGAATTGACGGCATGACTTAATGTGAACGTGAGTCTATGTGAACTAGACTCGAAGCAAGGTCTGGAGAGCAATGGCTGATAATTTGAATTCTCACGATTTTGTATTTGGATTGTACTCTCATAGTCAGGTATTGTAACGGATAGAGTTCTTGAGGCAAGACTGAAGCTTGCTCTGAAATTTGAAAGTGGTTACATTGGATATTTAAAAAATAGCATATGGCCAACAGGCTAGGTAGTACAGAACTACACACCCATGTGGGGCTCACAGGCCGAATAATCCAGTTTCATATGATTCAGTGCAATAGCATATCCACAACTTCCATCAGAACAGCTCCTTCCTACGGTACAAGATGTCATTTGGGTCATTTTCAGCCTGGTGCATATTGCAAGTCATCCAATCCAAGGCGTAGCACCATAATTTTGATCTTCACTCCGGCAATGGTGTGGCAATGCAGGATGCCATTCGAGGCGAAATAGAGTGAAGCTTTCCCAGATGAAAGACACGTTGCACTTGCCAACCACAAGGAGTAGTGTGAGAAGGAGTGGTGTGGGATGGAGTGGAGTGATGCCATAAAAGGAGAGCAATGCTAGGGTAAAGTAAAGAAAAAAATCTCGTGCTTTCATGCCTCTCCCATTTCAGGCCTCCCCCGTTTCATGCCTCTCCCTTTTTAGGCCTCTCCACATTTGACTTGTGAGTGACCTACCGAGAGCATCACCATGAGTTATCAGTTTCTGAGGCTCTACCCATCTCCAAGGGACGGTGTATGTGGCCACTTGGTGGGAGGACGGTGAGAGAAAAGGAAAACAGAGTATAGAAGCAAGGGTAGGGTGGTAGAGAACGAGAAGCACGGAAGCTAATGCAGCAGAGCTCTGCCATAATGCGCTGTAGGAGACCGGGGGGGGGGGGGGGGGGAGGATGATTCAGCCGAGCATGATTCAGCCAGGCATGATTCAGCCAGGCATGATTCATCCCACCATGATTCAGCCTGGCATGACTCATCCCAGCATGATTCATCCCAGCATGATTCAGCCTGACATGATTCATCCCACCATTATTGGGCCTGTCATAATTCAGCCAGGGATGATTAGGCCAGGCATGATTCGGCCAGGCATGCTTCAGTAAGGCATGATTCAACCAGGCCTGAAACAGCCAGGAATGTTTCAGCCAGGCATAATTCAGCCTGGCATGCTTCAGCCAGGCATGATTCAGCCTGGCATGATTCAGCCAGGCATGATTCATCCAGGCATGATTCAGCTAGGAATGATTCAGCCAGGCATGGTTCAGCCAGGCACGATTCAGCCAGGCATGATTCAGGCAGGCATGATTCAACTAGCCAGGCATGATTCTGCTAGCCAGACATGATTCAGCCAGGCATGATTCAGCCAGGCATGATTCAGCCAAGCAAGATTCAGACAAGCATGATTCAGCCAGGCATGATTCAGCCAGGCATGATTCAAGCAGGCTTGATTCAGCTAGCCAGGAATGGTTCAGCCCCGCATGATTCAAGGAGCCATGATTTAGCCAGGCATGATTCAGCCAGGCATGATTCAGCCAGGCATGATTCAGCCAGGCATGATTCAACCAGGCATGAATCAGCTAGCCAGACATGATTCAGCCAGGCATGTTTCAGCCAGGCATGATTCAGCCATGCATGATTCAGCCAGGCATGATTCAGTCAGGCATGATTCAAGCAGGCTTGATTCAGCTAGCCAGGAATGGTTCAGCCACGCATGATTCAAGGAGCCATGATTTAGCCAGGCATGATTCAGCCAGGCATGATTCAGCCAGGCATGATTCAGCCAGGCATGATTCAGCCAGGCATGATTCAACCAGGCATGAATCAGCTAGCCAGGCATGATTCAGCCAGGCATGATTCAGCCAGGCATGATTCAGCCAGGCATGATTCAGCCATGCATCATTCAGCCAGGTATGATTCAGCCAGGCATGATTCAGCCATGCATGATTCAGCCAGTCATGACTCAGCCTGGCATGATTCAGCCAGTAATGATTCAGCCAGGCATGATTGATCCAGGCATGATTCAGCCGGGCCTGATTCAGCCAAGCATGATTCAACCAGGCATGATTTAGCCCGGCATGATTCATCCAGGCACCAGCCAGGCATGATTAAGCCAGGAATGATTCAGCCAGGCATGATTGAAGCAGGCATGAATAAGCTAGCCAGGAATGATTCAGCCAGGCATGATTCAGCCAGGCATGATTCAGCCAGGCATGATTCAGCCAGGCATGATTCAGCCAGGCATGATTCAGCCAGGCATGATTCAGCCAGGCATGATTCAGCCAGGCATGATTCAACCAGGCATGATTCAGCCCGGCATGATTTATCCAGGCATCAGCCAGGAATGACTATGCCAGGCACGATTCAGCCAGGCATGATTCAGGCAGGCATGATCCAGCCAGGCATGATTCAGCCAAGCAAGTATCAGACAAGCATGATTCAGCCAGGCATGATTCAGCCAGGCATGATTCAGCCAGGCATGATTCAAGCAGGCTTGATTCAGCTAGCCAGGAATGGTTCAGCCCCGCATGATTCAAGGAGCCATGATTTAGCCAGGCATGATTCAGCCAGGCATGATTCAGCCAGGCATGATTCAGCCAGGCATGATTCAACCAGGCATGAATCAGCTAGCCAGACATGATTCAGCCAGGCATGTTTCAGCCAGGCATGATTCAGCCATGCATGATTCAGCCAGGCATGATTCAGTCAGGCATGATTCAAGCAGGCTTGATTCAGCTAGCCAGGAATGGTTAAGCCCCGCATGATTCAAGGAGCCATGATTTAGCCAGGCATGATTCAGCCAGGCATGATTCAGCCAGGCATGATTCAGCCAGGCATGATTCAACCAGGCATGAATCAGCTAGCCAGGCATGATTCAGCCAGGCATGATTCAGCCAGGCATGATTCAGCCAGGCATGATTCAGCCATGCATCATTCAGCCAGGTATGATTCAGCCAGGCATGATTCAGCCATGCATGATTCAGCCAGTCATGACTCAGCCTGGCATGATTCAGCCAGGTATGATGCATGATTCAGCCAGTAATTATTCGGCCAGGCATGATTGATCCAGGCATGATTCAGGCAGGCATGATTCAGCCGGGCATGATTCAGCCAAGCATGATTCAACCAGGCATGATTCAGCCCGGCATGATTCATCCAGGCATCAGCCAGGCATGATTAAGCCATGAATGATTCAGCCAGGCATGATTGAAGCAGGCCAGAATAAGCTAGCCAGGCATGATTCAGCCAGGCATGATTCAGCCAGGCATGATTCAGCCAGGCATGATTCAGCCAGGCATGATTCAGCCAGGCATGATTCAGCCAGGCATGATTCAGCCAGGCATGATTCAGCCAGGCATGATTCAGCCAGGCATGATTCAACCAGGCATGATTCAGCCAGGCATGATTCAGCCAGGCATGATTCAGCCAGGCATGATTCAGCCAGGCATGATTCAGCCAGGCATGATTCAGCCAAGCACGATTCAACCAGGCATGATTCAGCCCGGCATCAGCCAGGCATGATTAAGCCAGGCATGATTCAGCCAGGCATGATTGAAGCAGGCATGAATAAGCTAGCCATGCATGATTCAGCCAGGAATGATTCAACCAGGCATGATTCAGCCAGGCATGATTCAGCCAGGCATGATTCAACCAGGCATGATTCAGCCAGGCATGATTCAGCTAGCCAGGCACGATTCAGCCGGGCATGATTCAGCCAGGCATGATTCAGCCATGAATGATTCAGCCAGGCATGATTCAGCCATGAATGATTCAGCCAGGCATGATTCAGCCAAGTATGATTCAGCCAGGCGTGATTCAGCGAGCCAGGCATGATTCAGTCAGGTATACAGTATCTCGTGAGGCACAGCGTGGTTATCGTCCAGTTTGACGTGCATGGAGATGGGCCACGCATGCAGGACCAGCCCTTGCGATCGGACTGCCATGACCCGTCTTTGACTCGTTCTATTGCAGGGGCCCATCGCCGAGAATGAGTTAGAGTCGGTCACGGCAGAGCCTGTCGTTGGGCATGGAGATTGGGGTCAGGGAGGGGTAGGGGAGGAGAGGGGTAGGGGAGGAGAGGGGTAGGGGAGGAGAGGGGTAGGGGAGGAGAGGGGTAGGGGAGGAGAGGGGTAGGGGAGGAGAGGGGTAGGATAGGGGGAATGAGAAGTAGAAAACGGAAGGGGAAAGGGATTGGGTACGGGGAGGAGGACGGGTAAGAGGATGGGGAGGTGGCAAGTGGAGAGGGAGGGGGTAATGTAGAGGGAAGGTTAAGCGAAGGGGGAGTGGACAATTCGGTGCAGCAGGAGCGGGTCAATGAAAGGGGAGGGCATAAGGGTAAAGAGAGGGGGTAAGGCGAGGGTTCAAATTGATGCCTTGGCAAGCAATGTGGCTATGCAAGTAGATGCGAGAGGGCATGGAAACAGCAAGCAGGAGCGCAGCGGAGCTGGATGGGTCAGGGATAAGGGGAGTTTGGGAGGGTGAGAACAGAGGAATTGGGCATGGGTGGGTGGGAAGGGAGTGTGGCAGGGTGTGGTGGACAATCCTCTAAAACTCTCTCAGAGCTCCAAGACTTTCTCTATAGTCTCCGCCAGCCTTATCAGCAGCCCTAACTGTCATTTGAGTGACTCTCGCACACATCGTCCCCGCCCCGCATTGACAGCTCAGAGCGGCTCACATTGGCCAGCGACATCAGCTTCTCAACCGCACCCTCCGCCACCCCCATCAGCACAGGCCCCCATTCAACACCCCGTTCACCCTCCTTTCCTTCACCCCCGTTCCTTCACCGCACCCTCCCTTCACCGCGTCGCACCCCACAGCAACCCCTCAGAGCCTCTACGGTTGGCCAAACCCAGCTGGTACTGCCCCCTGC